CGCGTAAATCGCGGAGAACGCTATCTTGTGTTTATAAGATCTTTGGTCATAATGTAAGGAGGACCAACGATTTATATATTTTATTTTTTCTTTAAAGGCAGCTCCAAATAGTACATTTCATCCCTCCAGCTCAAAGCACAGTGATCCAAAGGATCTCCATAGTTCAATGCACCCACAATGGCCACTACATATTTAACAAACACATATTATAAAAAATATATCCAACTGAGCTATGCTACTACTATCTTCATTAATAGTATATTGAATTATTTTTGTGTTTTATCTACTACATACCGTAGTCTATCATACGTTGTTTGGTCAGGTTACAAAGCTCTCTATCCACTTCAAAGACACCTGCACCCGATGTGATTATGATCACAAGCTGACCAGTACGGTCAAAGTTTCGGTCAATAAAGTGCTTGTCAAATACTGTTAAAAGAATTGTTTTTTTAAATGTTGTGTTGATTGAAAAAGTATATAAGATTTATTGCATATATATTGTTGTTTTATATTCTCTTCCAGGTAGTCTCCTTTGTAATTTTGAACAAAAGTTATCACACAAATTGAAATAGATTAGTAATAGTAGGAGTCGGAGAATATTGAATAAAGATGATGTGATAACATAAATAATAAATACAATAATACAATAAGAATAAAAAAACATAAATGAAAAAATTAAGGTTGCAATCATAAAAACAATATGACATAGCAAGAATATATATATCTGTTTGTCACAAGGTCACAGATATAAAAAAAAACAGCTGGTAAACAACTATCTAATACTGACTTCTCATTTGTCAGTCTTTAAAATTGATTGACAGGCTTACCATTGAGTGACAAGTTGAGAACTTCCAATAGATTGCCTTCAGCTGCGGTGGATATGTAACTTGATGGGATGGTAACATCTACAAGGAGCAAAGAAAAGGGGGTTCAAAATTTAGATAGGAAACAACCTCTATTTACAGGGTGCATGCACTCTGTTTTACCACCATTTATCAATCATACAAATCAAATCATTAGTTTATAATAAACATATATAAAACATTTATGTACTGTGGTGGCCAAAGCCCTGTTTATTATGAATAAAATAGACTTATTTTGAGGGTATTTCACATGTGTAAAAGACTAAATACGACATTTTTTTAAGAAATAATACTTATGGAGATTTAGTATATATCTTATGGAGGACAGAATGAATATGAATACATCTTACAAACCACAAGGAACGTGGGAGAGTTTTGAATATGCAGACTTAATATACACACCTTGTGGAGAGGGTAGAATTAGGTTTAAGTACTGAATAAAGTGTTGTTTAAGTGTAATAAGCATCGGCAGCCAATCATCCCTCCATTCATGTTGTACAATGACCCTACAAAATAAAATAATGGAGTTAATGAGTTTTTTCTATCATATATAAATCAACAATATTTGGTAATACATTGGGTGTGGGCTTTTATGAACTGTAGCAATTAATTCTACAGGTAAATCAAAGTCTTTATCCAAATGTTTACAAGTCCAAAAAAAAAAAAAAAAATAGCAAAATA